TAAACAAACGTGGGATAGCTTCGCAGTCACCAACTGGTGCAAGGAAAACAGAATATGGCAAAATCACACCAAATGAAGATGGGAACACAAGCAACTACATGTATGTACATGTAGTTTACCTAGCAAAATGCAAGTCATTCCCCTAAGGCAATCCAAACACATCATCATCAATATTATCTCATTATCACAGGTTGAATTATTTTACAATGGAATGCACAATCTCTCATAGCCCACTAAAAAGAATGCAACAAAGCTATAGATCCATTCTTGGCCCACAAAACCAGATATTATTTACATCCAAGAAATGTGGTTAAAAGATGATAAAAAAATGTTAGATTACCTGATTGTGATGTCTATTGACATGATAGAAAAAATACTAACAAGAAAAGTGGTGGTGGGTGTGCTTTCATGACAAAGTACCCAGTGTGGTGTTGCCGTCAAGTACAAAACAGGTTCCGGCACTTCTGTGGAATTCCAAATCAGATCATTGAATTTACATGTACCAGCAAGCTTTACATTGTTGGCTGTGATTTCAACAGTCATAACCTGCTGTGTGGCAACTCTAAACTTGATCACAATGGATAAATTATTGATGACATCAATAACAATTTGATTTGTGTCAATACTGGAGAAGGCACCAGGGTTAACACATCACACAGTTCCCTCACTCCAGCTTCCCCTTGCATAGCCTCCAACAAGAAATTGGATCGTGCTAAACGGATTGTGAGGAAATGACCACTGCCCAACCACTAAATACTTATTGGCATCCGTCAGTCTCGAAAAACAATGGAGCTGCACCTGAGGCTATGTTCAGACACTGTGTTAGTGAAAACAGTAAAAGTTAAAATGGTCACTCACCACAGATGGTGGTCGTAAAATTAAAACCCACCACGCCTTTGGAACCATTTTAATTTGGCAGCTTTAACCAAAAACAGTTTAGCTCCTTTTCTGGGGGTCATGAAGAACTTCCACTCATTTAAATTAATCCCACTTAAGTTTGTTTACATACACACATAGCCGGCATGTGCTTGAAGCAGGTTTGGACTGGTTGCCGATATACTTACTGTAAAAACATGCTGATTGTCACCCAGGTACCAGCGTTTGTGTTATGTTTGCAACATGATGCTCTATCAGGAGACACTTGTTCATATATCATTGCGATGCAACAAATGATGGTTGCCCTAGAAAGATGCCCATCAGCAGTCCACAGCCTTACAGACATATTACCAGTCTTAGGCATTCTTAGAAAGCAAATACAGCAAATGTATCACTCTTTTTCCTGATTACAGCGGCAGTTCTGGCAATATACATGTACCATGGAGAGGCAGACGGGAGCAACCGCTTTTTTTCATGTTGTAATGGCAGTTTTGTAGAATGATAGCATTGCAGGGGTCATTGAGCATGCGGTTACATTGTATACATCATTGTTTATAACAAAAGCGCACCAAAGAAAAGCTGTTACGTAACTCCAGGTCAATGCGCTGGCTAAAACCGGATGCGTTTCAGCTAAAACCATTTTGGTTCAATGCTAACCCCTCCCTCCGAGGTGGTTTAAATCCCTATTTCAACTCTGAAATAAAACTGATTTGGTGCAACTTGGAAAGCGTCCAGACATCGTTTCAATGCAAAAGTTACACCAAACCAGGTGTACCGTAACTAACATTTTAAGTGAATTTAAAACGTCTGAATGTAGCCTGAGTTGGTCAATCAGTGGTTGACTTGAAGTACATGTACCTGCTGTGGCTGAACTGGCCAATCCTCAAAAGGCAGGCTCTGTTGCCAGTGCTGCAAGTGAAGCCTGTGCCAGGGTTCATAGGGGCTACCAGCTTGCTGGTGTCTGTGTCTCCTCTTGTCCTTCCACCTGGCCTCTCTCTGTTGCTCACCAGCCAGGGTTACTGGTCTGACAGCCTGCTTCCAGCTGGTCTCTCTCTGTTGCTCGCCAGCCAAGGTTACTGCTCTGACAGCCTGCTTCCAGCTGGTCTCCCTCTGTTGCTCGCCACCCAGGGTTACTGCTCTGACAGCCTGCTTCCAGCTGGTTTCTCTCTTTTTCTCTTTCTTGTTAGGCACATGGTCCTGTCCAGGTTATATCAAGTATCGGCATTACACCGAGTGGGGCAGTGTCATTTGTGTCGGATCTTTATACAGGTCAAGTCATAAACTTTCCAAATTCATGTAGTACAAATACCTAAAGTTAATCACTACTGTATACACATGATAAAATTAATATAATGCAATGGGGTGCAGGTGTTCAGGCATTTGTAAACAATTTATTTTAATCTGTCCACAACAAGCTAATACTTGTAGTGATCTGCCCAGTTTGAAATGTGCTGATGGTGTCTGTTTGTAAAATGTAATCCTTGGCCAATAAATTTCAGTGTAGCCTTTATATGTAACTTCATGTCTCGTAACTTCAACCCTGATGATACATTGTGCAACAGCATAAGGAGAAAAAATTTCTTTCAGGCATTGTGTCTCATGTTATGGCATTTCTGACGTAGAAATGTAGGTGACATGTATATGTAAGACCCTCACTTCATTGGTGGTAGTGTTTGATTTCTTTACTTCCAGGATCAATTTCAGACAAGGAACTCACTTCTGCATCTGACCTCCCAGACAAATTGGAACCTGGTGATGGAATAATGGCAGATAAGGGATTTGACATCCAGGATGGCAGATAAGGGATTTGACATCCAGGATGTACTAGCACCAAGAGGGGCTATACTGAATATTCCCCCTTTCACGTAGGGAGGTTGACAATGTCTGTAGAAAATGTTGTGAAAACAAGAAACATTGCATCACTGCGCATCCATGTGGAGAGATGCACGGGAAGGATTAAGAACTACCACATCTTTGACAGACCAATTCCTGTATGTATGAGTGGAATAGCAAACCAAATATTTTTTGCCAGTGCATTGCTTACAAATTTCCATCCACCTTTGCTGTAATTAAGTTCGTCACATGGGCACTTCTCTTCCTTTGAAGTTGTACAAAATATGTGTAAATCACTTGTTGAGCTTTTAGAGTGAAGTAGATAAAAAAGTATAATTGTGTATTCAGAGGTGTGGGAAAAATCGCAAGGGTCAGTACTCAACTTTGCTAGAAACCAAAACTTTTAAATACTTTCCTAATTCAAATCAGTTTTAACAGAAGCCAACCCTGTACATGTATGTCTTTCAGTGTTACAGCAACACTGCGTAAAAAATGAAAATGAAACCCACACAAACAATTCAGTACTAAATCCCAACCCTTATGAAGTTAAGCAATTTCATAAAAGGTAGACGGCATGTGACTACCCAGAGCACTGACGAATTGATGAGCTCACAGCCATTTATAACTAGACCTATAGGCAAAACACTTGAACTCTGCATAAGAAACAGAGTTTGACTGATGGTTCTTGCCCAAAGTTATTTCTGAAGGAATTTCACATGATTAATGCTGTGCAAACGTGAATGTAATATTCACCTGAAACATAAAAATAATGGTCATCAAACACCAGAGATCTCAATTGCTAGTTTTCATTTTATTGAAGACAATTTTCAAGCACATTTGTTATTCTCACTTTCAGCATACACATGTATTACATGTTTGTATTTTTATCTCAACTGCACTTTCCTGAGCTACAGAGTGAATTAAACTTTATCTGTATTTACGACAGGTGGCAATAAATACTGTGTTGATAATTAATACAATTATTGAAGATAACATCTGACTAGTTACTGTGAATATCATAAGACAGGCAATTTGTTTTTGTTTCTGTATAGAATATGTAGGCGTGTGTTGAAACTAACATGTCTGACATATACTATGATTACATTTAAAGTCTTATAGGAATTTCCTTTCTACACAACACCTGCATGTTCATCTGCTATTTCATTAAATGGTCAACTAATCAATAAATTACAGTCAAAACAATTTTCTTCAATGTTGTTGCACCACACAGTCTGGGGAAAGATGTCATATTACTACATCTGCAGGAAAATGGCAATAAATATGATTTATAAATATAAGCATTCTTTGGGAATTTGACATAAAATTTGAACTTAATTTGAACCTAAGGTGGTCTGGCAAATCCAAGAACTTTATGTAACTGCAGGGAAACAATTATTTCCATGTACCATGTAAATCTAACAAAATACCTACTCTTCACTTCTTTTGCTTGTGTTTCTAGAATTTTCATAATGAAAAAGTTCTGGAAACAGGGGAAGCCAAGTTAATGCACCTTGTCAGAATCTCTGGCGCAACATATCCTATGTAAAATTCCTTCAGTTTAGGAAAGATGATGTTTTCCCACGCTTGTTGGTCAAACCAGATGCGCTCAACAGGAATATCTTTTCCCTTAGGTGTTTCTACGAACATGATAAAATCACACCATTCTCTCTTTGTTACTGCAAGCTGGCATTGTACTTGGTAATAATACACATGCTGATGGTTAAGCTTTAACTTCCCTGGTGAGTCTCTCTAAAGTGGAAAGGATGAACCACGTTGAATTACAAGGTCTGCCACTGTTAAATTTTATAATGGACACTTGATTTTAGTGTTTCCTTTATGAGGTTGACTTAAAGGATCTGAAACAATTCTGTCTATACTGGCACCTAGCCATGAGCTTTCTGGCATGACAGAAAATCCTGTTCCCTTCAAGCAAATGTCTGGGTGACCATTCATTTCATGTACTCTATGTAGGCATCAGCAGCCCTTCGTTCACACTCTATCCCGTGTTTACAAGCCTTTAGAACAATTTTCCGATCGTCATATCCTATAATTCTTCTCAGAAGATTATCAGGTGAAGTTGTTTTTCTCCTATTGATAATGGCACCAGCCACAGATGCTGTAACTTTCTCCTGTCTATGTTTATGCCAGTTTTCATTGACTGACTGACCCCTGGTAGACATTTCAATTTGTTCAACTTCTTCAGTTGTCACTTTCTGTGCCTGCTCATACTTACGACACCTATCCTTAAACTCTTCATCAACTGACAGTTCTTCAGGTGGTTTTGGCATCTCTTGTTGCTTCCAATAATTATGCTTTGAATGAATCTGTTGATTGTTGAGCACTTCCTGCACCAGTTGAATTAGGAGCTACTGATTTTCTTTGGGATTGAATTGGATTTCTAGTTGATTCAGATGCAGTACACATGTAGTCGTGATCAAATGAAATGGCAGATAAAGATGGAGCAAATGGCAAGACATGGAGACATGCACTGGATTTGCCTTTTGATTTCAACTCTTCAAGCTTACTGCATAATTGGTATACTTTTTTGCGATTGTTTCTCTGAAAGTGATATGGTCTGGGGTCAGATTGCCTGATATTTGGTTTTCTCTTCTTTGGCTTGGTGGGGTTGTATTTCTCAAACACTGCATCACTGATTGTGAAATTATCAACTTTTTGTTTTCTACAGGGCAAGTGCCACTGTTGAGGACAGGATGTACGTGATATAGAGGGTTCTGAAACATAGAGGTCAGTACGACCTGAAGTTCTGGTATCTGAGCATACACTGTACATACAAAAATACTGCCACATGGCAGCAAATGCCACCCAATCCTGCAGGGCACGTACAATACGTTGAGTGTAAATGGTGAAATGATCCTGCAGGGCATGTACAATATGTTGAGTGTATATGGTGAGATGATTGCCACACTGATACATAACTTGTGTATGTTTTTTTATTTTTTCATTGTTGGAAGAACAGTTGCTTTTAGATGGATAAATGGTGATACTGCAAACATAGGGTGATACATAATATCTTTAACATGCCCAGAACAATAAAGCCTATACCCCTTTCCAAACTGCTGGTCACATCCTTTTGCCTTCTCTTTCAAATGTGGCTAGTTCACAAGAAAAAGCCACATTGCTCCAAAAGACACAGCACCTGCAACCTGCAATCCAAGCAAAGTGAATTACCTAGCATTGCTTCATTTGTTTAGTTAATTAATAGTTCACTCAAACAAATTTTTGCCAAACCTATTATTTTTTTTCCATGATTTTGTTTCATCCAAAGGAATGAGGAATTAGCAATATATGTATGTTACACAAATTCACATTTGATCTCTGCTACATTTGTAATCATGTTCTAAAGATCTGAATTAGTTTACATGATTATTCAAATGCTGAATTGGGGTTTCCTAATTTTGGAAAGTGCAAGCGCAATTGGGATAAGTCGCGAGTCCAGCCTTCTTTAGGAGGTTGATGGAAGCCTGTAGGGGTACATGTAACAGCAGAAACTGTCTTCCCTCTCTCCCTGTCCACAGCATGCTGGGTGTTTTCTGGATCAATCAACAGCGTCTCTGACAGACCTCCACTGATATAATCACTGACTCTGCAATAACAAAATGAACCAAAGCTAAAAATAACTCATCTTATTCTAATGCTCTTCTTCCACATACATGTACATGTACCGGTATGCTGTAATTGTTAACTGGAGGAAAAATTCCAGATTGGGTCATTTCAATTTTTCTGATTCCAAACCCCCATGTTTATCATGAGGCGTCTTTATAGGCATACATGTACCCACATAACACTCATAGGCACTGGCCTCGTGCATGGTCAAAGCAACATACCCTACTACAATTTATTAGTAAAGAACAATACAAGAGAGGCAATTTGTGGGCTTCAAGAGCAGTCTCATGGTTTCCAATAGAGGTAGGTTTCCTCTTTAAAATGCTGAAAGGTGCTACTGGAAAATGCTACATTGCACTTGGAATGAACATACTTCTAGAACTGAACCAATGGTACAATTGACTCTCATAAACACCATTGCTATAACAAAATACTGTTACAAAGAAAAGATTTTGATAATCCCACTTTCTTGAATCTTATATGTTCTTTGTTTTTCTACTCTTTATAACAAAGTCCTGGCTATAACAAAGTAATTTGTAGTAGTTACTACAGCTTTGTCATAAGGAGAGTCGACTGTACATATCGCGTCATTATTGGTGTCACTTAAAATTATAATGGCTCAACAAAGATATCCAACATCTTTCAAAAGTTCAGTAGTCTTCATTATGTCCCCACAGAAGTCATTTCAGAAAGGTTATTTCACTCTTTCCCATTAGCATGATTAATGGTTTAGATATCAGTATCAGTTACCTGTACAAGATATCAGACCCCCAAAAAAATAATTTACAGTATTTGCTATGAAAAGACTCATGTTACTTACCTCTGCACAAGTTCTGATTTAACTCCGGAAGTTGAAGCGCCTCTTCTGCATGCCAACCATCTCTTTAGCTGCAACACTGTTGCTGACAAAGGGTCTGTTTCAAGCTTTGCACCTGGAATATCATCCTCCGTTAAAGATGATGCCACGATTGTGTTACACTTTGACACCATTCTGCACGTACTGTAAGTAGGGAGATGAAAACTACATTTAGAAATTTGAGTTGTTATAATCTAAAAAAAAGTCAGTTACTCCCAAGGCCAACAGCAACACGCTCTTTATTGCACTTTTTGAAAAATTTAATAAATTTTCAAATATTTGTGAGAGGAATAATCACCCTTAATTGTCTTTTTCAGGGCACAAATCATTCTAGGCTGAAAATAATGTGATTGGTCAATGCAGAATGAATGAGCTACAAGTCATGATTGTGATTGGGCAATAGTATTCACGATCTAAGTCAAGGCATGGTCTATGACCAGAGTGTATTGTTGAAGGGATTCCCTGAATTTTTCTTTTCTGCAATGCTATGCATGTACTTCAAGGTTTGTGAATACATGTATCTTCATCTCTAATCTATAATGCAACACTGTGAGAAGAGGAAGACTTGAACTGGAGTATGAAATAATATGGTAACAGATTGTTTTGCAGGTACATGTACACTAAACCCATAGGATTGTGCATAAAATGTACATGTATTGCTTGCTTGTCATCCAAACCCATAATGCATTACGAAACAACTAAAAGGTTTATTATAGGTAGGGGAATGACTAAATGAGCGAGAGCACTGTTTATTTGGAAACTCGTTTTTCTTAAATAGTCTTTTTGCATGCAGTTCCATTTCAAATTTTTTGAAATTTGAAGTAAAGCCTGCATTTGATTCATTGAAATAAGGCACAAATAAGAACAAAGATTTTACAAAAACACAAATGTTAAAGTTTCACTTAAAGTCCACACTCATTTTTGGGTACAAAATAATCACAGTTTGCTCTGCATTACACGTGTACAAAACACATCTCAAAACATCCCCACTTCAAACAGATTTTTCTTTGCTTTGCAGAGACAGAATCCAAATTTATATCAAAATATTTCTTACAACATCCTCTTCAAGATGTCATCAGTAGAGTGATGTAGGCCCTATAATAGGGAAGCTAATATTCAAATATTTATTAATCTATGTTGCAGAGTGGTACTAGGCCTAAGCCTAGGATGGTTTCTACAAAAAGCCTAGCCTAGCCGTGCACATGGTGCATCTTACAAAGAAGGGAGGGACTGCAAAAATAACCAGGACTTCTCTGGGTAGGCCTGGGCTATATTCTGAAGTGTCTCATGAAGTTGTTGCATTAGGCCTACATGTATATCTTACCAAACTATTTAGAGATACTCACCAAAGCTTCATGCACAAAATACTACAAATGGAGTCATCCAGGTTTTAGCGAACGAGGCCAGTTCCCCCTGGGGATAGTGCCACGGCTAGCCAGCTGTGTGTAGTCGAGGTCGCACAAAAACTTTCCTACATGTACATGTATCTTTGACAACATAACCCCCGGAAGTGAAAACTTTGGTTTTCAACTGCGCCCCCAGCAATACGGCTCATTGGGGCACAACACAAAGCAAAAGGCGACGGACGACGGCAGATATGGAATTCCATACGACGGACCTTTGCACCGACAAGGAAAAGTACATGTACCATAGGTCTACATAGGCCTACATGTACATGTACGTACACCGTGTCAAAACGTTAGCAAGTCCTGAAAACAAAAAGTGGTTTTCAACGTACCTGCATCAGTTGACCATCTTTTGAGTTGTTTTTGTGGGAAAATGGTACCACAGGATGTCCCATGCTTCACCAATGACGTCCTTTTTGTGCTGAAAATCAAAGACAAGTTTCACAAAACGTGAGAATTAAAACTTCGAACGCAGCATAATCATCGCGGGCTGGACGACTAACATATGTACAGTGTACAGCGCCCTCAATTGGAAAGGGCCAGTAGCGCCAACAATTTGGATCAGACTACTTGAGCTTCAAGCTCGTCCGTGCATTGGTCCAAGTGACTGCACACGATGTACATGGAGCAGTGACTTGGAGGTCAAGTAGTACGCGTACGAGAACCGCGCTCTCGTCTACGTCGCGTCAACTTTGTGATTGTGCACGTTACAAGAGGGAGAGGCTCCTGCCCCATCTCCTCCTCAGGAAAGAGAAAATAAAAGTGGGTGAAAATCGCAAATGGGATTTGGGACCGCTGTTTTGAAACTGTTTTGCGTTATCACTGCTTTGGCCACTGACCGGGGTTTCTTTGAACATTTTCCAAATCAGAGGGCCCTCTTTCATTTTCTTTTTTCTATATCACAGTTTTTATAATAGGGAAAAGTGAGTAAATCAAATTAAATTACTTGAAAATACCTTGGCGTAAAAACCCTTCTACCTTTTTTTTCAGTTTAATGCTGATAATGCAGTGCCCTCCCTCATCCCAGGAGAAATGCCAACACCTATGCCTAACAAGATCCTTTTCAGAAAATGGAATATTTCCACAATATAAGTCGGTGTAAATCAGAGACTTATTTTTTTATCTTATTCTTTCATTTAGGAGAAAAAATGAGCTAAACTTTTTAAAAATCTTCATATACATTGGGGTGTTCTTATTAAAACATTTTCCCTTTAATAGCTTCCTACATTTCCGGAGCACTTTTCAATGAGAGTAATCCATAAGGCATAACTTCCAGGTTTGTTACATAAATGCAAGTAACTTAAGAGGAACTGAAAATTGCACAAAAAGGAGTAATAAAGTGCAGTTCAAATCATGGACATGTTATTAATGTCTCAGGCCACATATTTTATTCCATTCAATTAAAATCCTCTGACTATTACACTGATTACAGAAATTACAAAATGTACATGGAATACTACTCTAGACTTAAAAATCATTTTGTGCACGCAAATTCCCTTGGTTTGCCTCAAGTGTATTGACCTTGAGTGGCATAGAACAGGCCATACAAGATCAAATCTGTACTCTCTAACCGATATTTCTCCAAAATGACTAAAAGGCAAAGGGCTTGTATTTATTTTACATAAGCCTGACACATAAACAAGCCCATTTTTGATTGGTGGACCATTTTGGAATACAAAATGCATAGGCCAAAGGCACTTAGAAGTTTCCCGAGGGAGACTGCACCTGTTCAGTACTAAAGCCTTAAGCTTTCTATTTTATTCTTCTATCGCAAGGTGTTGCCATCTTAAGACTCAAATCTGTGACTTTCAAGACCATGTATGGCACATCGGATAGTGAATCATTTGTTTATGAAAAAAAAATCAAACAAGTGGAAATGAAGAAACATGAATAGCAATTTACTCCTCAAATCTTCCACCCCTTTCCTCTTGTCCACTTGCAGGTGGGTATAATTTTGGCCAAAAATTTCAACTCTTGAAAAAGGTAAGATATGGCCACCAACACAGCCAAATACCCTAAATACTGATTTACATGAGTCATTTGAAGAGGTATTTGTACCACATTTCTTACAACAACCTCATACTTTTCAACAATGTGGGACATGCCCATGGAGTGGTTTATACTACAAGAGGGCCATATATGCACAGCTGCCAAGTTAACATTCAACACGCACAGTGTACCTCCACAGACTTCTCACACTTTGTGTATGCTTAAAAAACAAAACAAAACAAACAGAGCGTTGACATGTTTAAATGTCAGTCGAGTTGATCGAGTCAAGGTATGCTTGACGTTTGAAACCATTAACTTGTACCTGTGTAAACAGATGGCCAGATCATGTGCTCTTGTCCAAAGTGGATTTAGAAAAAAATAAAAATAAGAGCATATCTTGTTTAAATACAGACATTCGAAGAAAAGGGACCTTCAAGTTTAAGAGTTGCTGTTGCACCTCCCCCTTCCCATTTCATTTGATTTCCCTTTGGCAAGCAGCGACCCTATCTACATACATGTAAATATCCATTAGTCTGTCTTCCAAATTAGTAGTCTAATTTATTTGTGGCAAAAGCTTTGTTCAAGTCCTGATCAAGACAATAAGCAAGAACAGTTGTGTGCAGAAAAAAGAGATACAAATTTTCCAAAAGCACCTACTGAGTGAAGCTCATATTAGATATACAATTTTAAGCTTGAGTTAGTTACATTTACTGACTATGAGTACAATTAACATCTTCACTCCACATACTGAGATATGGAATGTGTTTCAAAACCTAAAATTCACATTTGCATTACACATTTATTCGTTGTTTGCATCGTACAATTTTTGTTTTACATCTGCAGTTTGTACACACTCTGAGTCAATTCATCTGCAGTCATAAAAAATGCACGATGATCTATGGGTGACATCACTGTTCAAATATGAAAAAAAAATAAAAGCCTTGAGAAAACTAGAAACAAAAAAATGTCTTGATTATTCAGTGATAACTTAAAAAGTTACAGATGTTTGGAATTGAAATAAAACTGTAAGTAGAAATCACACACCAAATTTATGTTAACCTGTGCACAGACTTCCTTGAGTGAACCACGAACGATCAGTCTGTATTATGACCAAATACACTGAAGGAAACCTGGCCCTGCTACCATAAACAATACAATTTCCCCTGTGTAATTTCAACAACAATAACAATACAAATTCTAGCTTCATTTATTGATGGTAGCAATATAATTTCCAGCATGTTTTTCAAAGGGCTGCTGGTAACCACTTGAGAAATGTGACGATCTACAACTTCAAATTACAACTACAAATATGAGGATAGTGTTCAGTTTAAGAAGTGGAAGGAAAAACTCCCCATGATCATTATAGAGATGAGAAAACCCCACAAAGTTAAGTAAAGACTGCAAAATCCACAAATTAAACCTGGGCTGGATTCATAGAAGTGAAAGGTGACAAAAGTGTCACTATGCCAACCTGACACCCCATTCTACCAGTCCACTTTAAATTGCTGAGCCAAAGCAACACTGACACCAAAATAACCCTTCGAGATCATATAATTATGTACAGCATAATTCTGATATAATTTGGTTGAAAAAGCTACATTTTCCCAGTGGACATACTGATTTGGGCAGTTAGTGGTGAGGCTGAGGCTGGGGCAGCAGCGCTTTTGCCGTCATGGGAATGCCTCCAGCGGCAGCATCAGTACCTCCTGAATCCCGCATCCTCTTCTGTTGCTTCTCTCCTTTTGGATCTTGTAGATCGTGTTAGCCAAGATGTGATAGTACTCCTCCTGTGACAAGACCAGGCAATTAATGAGTGAATTAAAAAGTGAGCAAGAATGAATGGTTTTCCAGCTGATTTTCCTGCGATGGACACTGGTCTTCCTAAGGGGCCAATCAAAATGTTCAGTGTTTTTTTAAATTTTGACCTTTTTTTTTTAAGAAGTGGGAGGATGGGTCTAGGAAATAAATTGAAATCGAAATTTACTTTTTGTATTAAAATCCAGAAAAAAATTTCTGACTAGCCTGAAATATGTGTAGCGTGCACGCCATGCATACATAGCTCCGCCACACAAGCATTCCAAAAATGCAATTTTTTTCAACTTCATTTCCATATACAAACAGGTTGACCTTTCCAGTACATTATTATGCAAGTGTAAAACATCATGGAAGGAGGTGGTTTTCACTGTTAGACTTGGAAGCCGGTCGCTTGCAGCGGTGATCAACCACAAATGTAGCAGGGTACCAGACGTATTATAGAAAACCTACTGGTATACACAGTGAACGCTCGGAACACCATTTGCTAATAACGGTGAAATGTTCATCACCTTGAATCTAAGACTAACTAGACAGCAGCAAACTGCATCCAAATCTGTTGGCTAGAGCTAGGTCTGCGTATCTGTTTAAATAGAAATATATATGCATGTGCGTGGAGACACAGTAATTGACTGTAGGTGTCCGTACCTCGGGAGATCCATTTTTGAGCGGATTGGACACCGCATGCTTTTGCGTGTACAATCGATTGCAGTCATTTTATTGCAATTCCAGCCATCCTTTTGTCATACTGAGTTGCATTACAGATGTTTACATGTATTTGAATTTATATCAAATGCATGTATAATGTTCATGTACTGGATGAAAATTCAATCCTTTAAAATCAAAATTGAAGGTGGGTAGGTGGATCAAAAAAAATGGGAAAAAGTCAAAATTTAAAAAATAGAAAATTTTCAGTGGCCCCTAATCTGTACACGAACCATCAGTGGAAAGACGCTGATGACAGACTTGGCAAACACCTGCACTTCTCTAAGAGTAGGAAGTGTCATTGTACATCATACAGAGATAGTTGTTTGCGAAGCTAAGTTTAACCTTCCATAAAGTCAAATATTAGGTTCTATTCCAATTTCAAACAAACAGCAGCAACCAAATATTTCTGTTTGTTCATCTGAGTGGTTTTTCCCTCTGAGATTCAGCAGAGGGATTTGTCTCCTAGTTAAAGACGTGTGGTCATTGGTGATTTATTCCCTTAGTGACAGCAAGATCACAAATCATGAGAAAAGGAACACTGGAAGTCAGAGTAGTTTGGCCTTATTGCTGGACATATGCACGGCTACTTTACAGTGTACATGTATACCTGTATTAGTTTACAGAAACAGACTAGCAATGAAGTCACTACAGCACCTTTATGCGCCTTGGGGGACTATGAGTGATCAGTTATGTTAGAATTCAGAGGGGAAAACATCGGAATGGAGCAAATAGATGGGGTGAAATGTGTAAGTATTTTTAAAGTAAGGGTAGACAAAAAAAAAAAGACTCAATACCTCTCAAAACTAAATGATCAAATATCTACATACCTCCTCAATTTGAAGCAAGGACTATTCAGAAACAGATTTCTTCGAAAATTTAGACTGTTGGAGCCTTAGTTATGTCACAATAGAGAGGGTAAAAAGTTCTGCAAATGCTGCAATGTGAAAAGGTCAAATATTTTCAAAGTGAAAGGTAGAGCAATGACGAGATTCAACAACTCTCAAACTAAATGACCAAATATCTAAATACCTGCATGATTTGAAGCGTGGAATATTTACAAACAGATTTCTTTACA